CAGCACACTGCAGTCAAATGTTTGGCCCAAAAATATCCCTTATGCTGTCATTTGTGTTTCCACCACTCTGAACGGTGGGTGGAAAAGTACAGGGCTGCCTCGAATGTGTGGCAAGTGCTGCAGATGTAGGGACTGGTGTCCTGCAGTGTTCAGTGTCCATCTGAGCTGCAACTAAGTGTCCCTGTGCCCTTTCTGCAGGTGACGATGTTGGGTTTTGCAGGAACTCTCCAGTGGCGTCTGGGTGAAGGGCTGCTCGTGACTTTGCCCTACGCACCTCCGTCTCCTGAGCGCTCGCAGCCAGGTTGGGCTGTTCGGCTGGAGGGGGTGCAGTGACAGCCACGGGGTGAAAGCAGCCCCCTGTCTTTTCGACTGAGTCTCAGATGAGTTGTTCATTCACTGTTAAATAAATGGTTTTTCAAGACAGGATTTCTCTTCTAGCCATTCTGTGAGGCATCACCAGGCCTTGCTGCGAAAAAGGGGTCTTGGTCTAAATCTGAGCCTCCGCCCCACTGCTGCTGGGGCTGGGGGAGAGGCTGCGTGGGGGCCAGGGGGCGAGGCCGGGCAAGGGCTGGCACGGGGCAGCCCATCGCGTCCCGGCACCGTGTCAGCCCGCGCGGTTCTCCGCGTCCCAGTGGAGGCGGACGCGCTCGGAGATCTGCGGCGGCGTTTCCCCATTCGCGGGCTGCGGTACGGCCCGCGCTGACGGTCCTGGCACGGGGGGCCCCCCGGTGACGCCGCGCGGGGCGGCCCAGGGCAAACACGGGCTGTTTGCTCAGCGGCGCGGCGTGCGGCTATAAGAAGCGGCGCTCGGCGCATCCCGGACGCATCCCGAGCGCGGCCCGAAGCGCCCTCAGCGCACAATGCCGCGCTTCGCAGCCGGACCGCTGTCACGTGACACCACCCGGCGCCAGGTACCGGCACACTCTGGCGCCGCTCTCACGTGACTGCAAAGCTCCGCCCGCTTCTAAGCACGTGGCAGCTGTCACGTGAGGGGACTTCGGGCAGCCATGGCGGCGGCGCGAAAGTTGCTGCCGCGCTGGGCCGTGTCGATGCGGGCGGTGAGCGGCGCCGGGTCGGGGGTGGGCGGTTTGTTCCGGTTCTGTGCGGTCCCTCATGCTGCTCTTCTCTCTGCCCTCAGGTCAGCACCGCGGCCTTCCCGCAGAGAGTGAAGGTGGTGGAGGTGGGGCCGCGCGACGGGCTGCAGAATGAGAAGGTACCGCCGGGGCGGGTGCGAAGGGCTCTGTGCGACGCGCGGGCACCGCCGTGTTTGCTTGGTTCGCGCAGCGGCTCAGGTCTCATCCCCGCTCTACTCCCCTTTCCTCAGAGCGTGGTGCCGACGCCGGTGAAGATCCGCCTGATCGACATGTTGTCGGAGACGGGGCTGCCGGTCATCGAGGCCACCAGTTTCGTGTCCCCGCGATGGGTGCCGCAGGTCAGCGTTGATGTGGGGTGGCAGCAGTGCGCTGCCAGGAGCACCCGGTTGATGTCGGACCCGGTGACGGGGCACAGGTCCCTCTTGCAGTGCCTCGTGCAGGCACTTGCAGTGCCCAAAGGCTTCCCCCCGTGCCCGAGGTGCACGCTCAGCTCAGGACGTAGCTCAGGTGCGCACAGCTGTGGTGGACTGGAGACCTGCGGTGCACCTTAGGCACTACTTCCCCCAGTTTCCTGAGCGTTGTCGCTCCCTTTCATAGAAAGTGAATAATAATAATTTTAAAAAGTGTTATAAGTTGTGGAGTAGGTTGTCACCCTCAGAAATCTTTCCCTGTCTCCCTTGCAGATGGCTGATCATGCTGAAGTCATGCGAGGAATCAATAAGTTGCCTGGTGTGAGTTACCCAGTGCTGACCCCCAACCTGAAAGGATTCCAGGCAGCGGTAAGAGGTCACAGAGCCTCAGGGCTGCCCGGGAGGGAATACTTAAGCTGTGGTTAAGGGTGGAAAACACATCTGCAGCTCTGACAGGCAGCAGCTTCACATCATAGCTCCTCTACAAAGGGATCATTCTGCTGGGGAAACCTGTTGCTTATGATGGAGAATAACCCAATATATTTTATTAAAAATCATTTTTAAAAATTCAAATTTAATTTTTAATTAGGTTGTCCAGGGAAATACTGTGGGGAAAAAATAAAATGAGGGAACTGCGGTCTTGATCATACTTGTCATTTCCCTTGCAAGAGAAGTCATCTAACATGGTTAATGCTTTCTGTTGGCAGGTGGCAGCAGGGGCCAAAGAAGTGTCCATCTTTGGAGCAGCATCTGAGCTCTTCACGAAGAAGAACATTAACTGCTCCATAGAGGAGAGTCTGGAGAGATTCAGTGAAGTAATGAATGCCGCAAGAGTAGCCAACATCCCCGTCCGTGGGTAAGGAGAGTCCAGCGCCGAGCAGCCCAGGGGCAATGAAACTGCTCCAGGTTTCCACTTTGGAGTCTGACCCACGCAGTGCTGGAGAGCGAAATTGCTTTTAAACTTCACTTTTTGGGGAGGAGTGCCTCTGTCTGGATGAGTGCGAAAAACAAGTGCGAGCTTTGTGCCTTGGGAGTGTTAATTTGAAAATGACAGCAAGCGGATACAATTTCAGGTGTTGGCTTGCTGTACTCTGGACAGCTTGTGATAGTTTACACTCTTCTGCTCATTTGTTCATTCTATCTTCAGCTTTACCAAATAATCTAAAATAATACTAGCTTCTTGGCAGACTGCACACTGAAATGCTTAGATATAAAACTCTCCTGGTCTGGCATACTTATCTAACTTTTTATTTTTATGAAAGAAGTAATTGTAGAGTAACTAATGACATTAGTTTTGTCCACTGGAATGTGTACTGACTTTTAAAATAGAAAATTAACTCTTCTGTTGTATAGTGAACACAAAATGCTGCACAAGCTCTGAACAACTTGGCTTGTATAATCTCATGCAGTTCTCTTTCTAAAGGTTTGCTTTTTTAACTATAGATATGTTTCATGCGTCCTTGGATGTCCCTATGAAGGGAAGATTTCTGCAGCTAAAGTTGCAGAGGTGAGTTCATAAACATAACCAGAATTTCTGGGATATTTTTGGCTCCTTCTGGACTCTGATGGCTGGAGAATGTGTTGAACCATTAAACTAAAGATTGGGGGAAGAGAAGGAGGGAGGTTGCAGCCATCTAGGCTGCCTAGCTGATATGGATGGGGACATTGGGCAGGTAAATGTTTCCAGAAAAGAGTCTGCTGGCTTGCTATGGTTCCTCTGTACTGCTCTATCCAGCTCTGGGGAAGGCCATGACAAAGCTGTCTTCTCATCGTCTTGGCTTTTGGGCAGGTCTCAAAGAAGATGTACTCGATGGGATGCTATGAGATCTCCCTTGGTGACACCATTGGCATCGGAACCCCAGGGAGCATGAAGGAGATGCTGGCAGCGGTCATGAAGGAGGTGCCAGTGGGGGCTCTTGCTGTTCACTGCCATGATACCTATGGGCAAGCCCTTGCCAACATCTTGGTGGCACTTCAGGTAGGATTCTTGCTTTGCAGCAGAGCACACTTGCTTGAGTTTCTTCTACTTTTGTTTGTGAACCATATGTTTTGGGAGCCTTTTATTTAAGGAGAATTTACTGAGAATGGTGTTTTTGCAGATGGGTGTGAGTGTGGTCGATGCTTCTGTTGCTGGCCTTGGAGGCTGCCCCTATGCCCAGGGAGCATCGGGAAATGTTGCTACAGAGGACCTGGTGTACATGCTGAATGGCCTGGGCATTCACACGGTAAGTGTGAGTGGCTTGAGTGCAGAGCTCAAGGACCTGGCACAGAGCCCTGGAGTAGGGCAGGGTACTGTGGGCCTTGCGCAACTTCCTGGCCCCACTGCCCTGTGCTGTGCCATGCTCCTGGGGCAGTGTTGTGGCAGTGGCACTGACCTTGTTCCCTCTGTGTCCTGGAAGGGTGTGGACCTGCAGAAGCTGATGGATGCTGGCACCTTTATTTGCAATGCTCTGAACAGAAGAACCAATTCCAAAGTGTCCCAGGCCTCATGCAGACTGTGATGTACCCTTGATGTGGGTCAAGGACAGTGTAGCTGTTGTGCTAGCCCTGCTCCCTCCACGGTGCTGCCTTTGGGGCTCCTCCCAGGGCTGTAGCAGGAGAGGAAGTGCATAATCTGATGGAATCTCTGAAGAAATCAAAAAATGGGAATATTTTCCTGAGATGTGGGAGGAGAGGAGGGGGGGGAGAAGAGGCAGCTGCTGTGCAGCTGCGGATGGTGGGCTCAGCACTAGTGTTGCCATTGTGATTTGGGTACCAGGAGGAGCCATTGGCCTTCTCCGTGGTGCTCAGCACTGTGAGAACCTTCAGTATCTGTTGTAAGATACTTCTGAATACTCAGCGTAATAGACACATTGTTTGATCTAAACTAATAAAGATGTCGTTTAATGACTCGAGATCGCTGCCGGGCTCCTGCTCCACTTGTGGCCTCCCGCCGCCGGAGGGGGGTGGGGGTGCACCCCGCCGTTCCCGGCCCCGCTTGCCGCTCGCCCCGCCAATGGCCGTAGCCGTTCAGGCGGAAGCTCCCGCCCTCAGCGCCCGGCTTCCGGCCAGGCTGACACGTCCGCAGGTGGTTCGGAACGCGTGGCAGCGGGGGCGGGAGGCCCCGGCCGGCCCGGCCTTAAAGGCGGGGCGGATTTGGGCGGAGGGTGAGCGGCGGGATCGCGGCCCGAGAGTGGCTCCTTACCCCGCGGGTCGCTGGTGGTGATCTGTCCGGAGCGGGCCGGGCTCAGCTTCCCCCTTCCCCTGCAGCCATGGCGGAGCGCATCCTGGTGACCGGCGGCGCGGGGTATATCGGCAGTCACTGCGTGCTGCAGTTGGCCGAGGCGGGCTACGAGCCCCTGGTCATCGACAACCTCCGCAACGCCGCCAGAGGTACGCGCGACCCTGCCGGCTTCGATCCCTCCGATGCGGAGCCTTCGGACCCACCCCCCCTTCCCCTCAGGGCCCGGCGCGCTCCCCGAGAGCCTGCAGCGCGTGCAGCGCATCGCGCGGATGCCCATCGCCTTTCAGGAGCTCGACATCAGGGACGGGGCCGCGTTGCAGCAGCTCTTCAGCACGGTGCGGCCGCTGCGTCCTGCCCCCCGCGCATTGAATACCCCTGGGCGAGGACCGAGCTGCTATTGCCCTAACGCGTCTCTTCTCCCTCAGCACCGCTTCTCGGCCGTGATGCATTTCGCGGGGCTGAAGGCAGTGGGTGAGTCTGTGCGACAACCATTGGAGTACTACGGTGTGAACCTGACCGGCACCATTCGGCTGCTGGAGGTGAGTGGGAACGGGAGTGGGGCTGCGGCACGATGCGGTGCTGTGGGGCATGATGTGGTGCCGTGTGCTGGGCTCTGCAGTGCTGCTCTCCGCTCCTAGGCCATGGAAGCACACGGCGTGAGGAACATCGTGTTCAGCAGCTCCGCCACTGTCTATGG